TATATTTTTCTTCCTTCTAACCTTCTAAATTCTTGGCACCTATTCCCTGTCAAATACCTGATGCACAGTAAAGAGATTTCTTTTTTTAAGGATCATGCTAATGTTAAAATGCATGCATAAAGGTTTAAAAAAAATAGATGACAGGCGAACATTCATTAATGAGCGTAAAGTGTCTAAATGTTTAACACTTTACCAGATACATAACACCATCATCATTGGCATCATCATCATCTTCATCAGCAATTACAACATGTTGTTGTTATTGTTAATGCTATAAAGTGGTATAAAAGTGCGTATGCTTTGTGTGTGATTGTGGGTCTCGGATAACAATCATTACAAAAATTAATTAGTATAATTTAAAAACGACTGACTACAAGAATATCTCGTTTGACGAATGTCATGTCTTAGAAAGTGTAGTGGTCTGAATATTGAGCATGAAAATATTTTTACATAATCCCCCATTGTAGTGCGTGTAAATGAAAATGAATTTATAATGCTTTACATCCGGTAGGCTTAATAGTATTTAGACTAACTCATGAATCACATCTATATAAATATAGACTGAATTTTTTGAAAAACTTTTCCGGAAGACTTTCTAAGAAAATTGTGTTTATATATAGAGATAAACAATTGTTCGCATTACTTCATTGCTATTATCAAAGCAAAGTCTACTGTTGGTTTAGGTAGAATCATTCGTAAATGAAGTAAAACAAACAAGTTTGACTCAATAAATTATCGCTATTCCTCTCACTTCTGCTCTAAAGTCTGAAGTATGTGTCAATTGTTGTTTGACTTGTAAATTTTATTTTTTCACTGAGTTGGTTTTCTTAGAATAATAACGCATTTATAAACTTAAAAGCTAAGGTACCTTCTAAAGGTTTTAGTCGGTGCACGGGTGTGTTACTTTTTATACCCACCACTGAAGGATACGGGTGTAATTGTTTTGGATTTGTATTGAAAATGGGCCAAATTGGTCAGAGCAGAAACCTGCAGTGGTGCATAAAGTGAACGCAAGTCCGTTTTTTTTAACAGAAATTTTAGGATATTTGCTCGCTACTCGGGAATTATCAAAGTTAGAAGGCTGAAACTTTCCACGTTTACTCTACGAGACGCTTCACTCTCCAGGCCCAAAAATAGAACCGAACAGCCTTGTCCACACAAAGTTACGAGTAATTAAATTTTATTGTTTTCACTTTTTTGAGATTTAATGCTTGTTTATCATAAGGCAAACAAGACAGAATTTTTAAAACTATTTTGTACACTCCCCAAATGAAGATATATAATTTGGTTAAAAATAGATTAATCCTAAAATAAATATGGTAGACACAGCAAATAAATTTTTTTTAAATAATACCAACGATATGGGTATCAAATGGAAGAACGTGGAGCGTAGAATGCGAAAAGTATAGTGGTGGGAATGCAATATTCGGCCCAAGCCGAATATAACTTTCTTACTTGTCATTATTATACAGGTGGTATTTATTTATTCATCAATATCTATTTTGCCCCCTCCAAGGTAATCCCTCTCAGATATAATATAATGGTGCCGTTGCCTTTTTCCAATCCTTGAAACGCTTATGCATATATGTAAGGCCTAGGCCGACGGTTTCTAGGCGGAGCACACGCATAGGCGCTGCATAGACCCACGCATAAGCGGTCTATAGGTAGCGCATAGGCTGTGCATAGGAGGTGTGCAGCCCATACATAAGCGGTGACTGTTGAATTTTGATTGAATTTTGACTTAAATTTCAAAATAAAATTTTGAATTTCTTTAGCTCATTCGAAACATATTTCCGTTTAGATTCGGACGATATAGGTGAATATAGGGGCCATTTTCTAGTTTGGTCGCGTTACAATCTAAAATTTGAGAATTTTTCCATAACCGTTTTTGCTAACGTACCAAATTTGAATAAATGCGTAGATCTATTTCTTATAAGCAGAATTTGAATTCGTTTAGCTTGTTTGAAAGGTATTTTCATATAGATTCGTGAGGTGTCCACAAAAATTATTTGCATGTTATAGTATGGGCGGAGTAGGCTTCCGAATTTTATTTCCGAAATGGTTGGTGTCTTTGTTAGGCGAATTCGATGGTTGCGCTATTAGGGTCTACTTTGCAGAAATACCTAATTAGTCCAAGCGAAGTTCATTGAGACACGATCTTGAAAAACCTATCTGGTGTATCTAAAAAATTACTGAACTGATTTCCTTGCGATAAAATTTATCTTCAAATCTTCAATTTACTGAACTTATGTAATCATTCAATAATAAGTGTATGTACGTGAAACTAATTTTTGTTATGTGGTTCCTAAATTGCCATTCAGGTCATTAAAGCTATTCATATTCTTTATTATTTTAATAAGTCTTTTAGTAATCCTCTAACCACATCACGTTATTGATTTCTTGAAGGACATTATGACATTACAATTTTTCTGTACTACATTCACTTCTCGGTAAAATTTTTATGCGCGTTCATATAAATACACAAGCGTACACACACAAACACAGGCGAAAGAAGCCTTTTACCCGAAGTGTAAGCTACAAACAACATAATATGATGATAACAAATTTGTTGTTAGGTTAAGTACGCTTGTAGTGCATAACACATAAAATTATTAGCTTAGAAGACAGTTGTCTTTGCATGTACGTGTGTGTTGGCGGTTGGCGCCAACGTGACTTTGAACACAATGATGTGCACATATTAATGATCAAATATTATTTTCCCTAACATAATGTCGTTTTTTTTCTTCTGTTTTTTTCGTATACTTTCAAGAATTTTTTGTTCCCGAGACAATAAATTTTGTTCAAATGTATCTTTATTTTGTCAAAGCAAAAGATGTCTTGAGACGAACTGTTAACACTTTTCATGCCTTGCAAAAATTTTGTTGCTTGCACATGTGTTAGTGCTTAGGTCGAGACCATTTTCTCTTTCGAAGGGAAGCTCTTTATAGGTGATAACGTATTTGTGAAAATAGTTTGAAGTTATCACTTCTTTTTTTCTTTTTAAAGGCGTTCCAAAATATTCTGAAGTTGTCACTTCTTTTTTTCTTTTGAAAAGCGTTCATTATTTCAACAATTAGAAGGGTGTGGAAAGGTAAAAAAAAATTCAATTTCTTCTATTGTTTGCTCAATTTTCTCAATATCCGAATTCCCGACTTTTTTGATGGGAAAAACCGACGGATGAAAGAAGACATTGTATGTGACAAGGGTAGTTCCAATAAAGAGCGCTGGAAGAAAAGAAGGAATAAATAAATAGATAGACGGACAATGAACGCTTATTTCTATGAAAATGAAACAAATGGGTATTTGTATTAGTGAAGAAACGCATCAACAACGCATAAGCAGATATCAACGAGTCAATAAGATACCGAGCACTGTTCACAATATTGATAAAGAAAAAATAAACGGATAGTGAGACGAATGAACTAAAAGATCGGTGGATGGACGGAGAGATACTTAAATGCACAAACAAATTAACTGCTGGACAATAGATTGATTAAGTGTGCATAGACTGATCAAGAGAAAGAAGACCAGCTGAAGAGACGGCGATGAAAAGATTGGTGAGCAGACGTACTAAAGAAGTATGTCAATGAAGTAGAGGTAAATATATAAATGGTGCGATTTTAGGAGCAATGAGTTGACATCTGAATGCATGCACATACGTGCCGAGCAGCAGATTGGCGAATGAAAAGATGAACCAATAAGCAAAATAAACAAAAGGACTGACCAAATTTAAAATTTTATACCGATCAACAGAATATTTATTTAGTAAGATCTCTAATATGAATTGTAAAGGGAAGAGCGAAATTAGTGTACATTCAATGTACCATGGCCAAAACAAAAAAGCAGATACCACGTAAGAATAATTAATAAATATATATATATATATATATAACGTCCAATGAAAAGAAGCAATAGCAGCCGTGGTATGTCGGAATCTGGCTGCGAACTTGTGGTATGTGGTATTAGCATTATTATTTACATTAATGTTAGCTTAAAGGCAACATTTTCTGTGGCGAACTCCAAATAGCCATAGCTGTTAATGAGATATGAGAAAACGACGGCTTTATTATTGCATCATAAACACAAAAAAGTAAACACATTTGCATATGTCATGCCGGGTAAGTAAGTTGTTTAAGGACAATTCTAAGGATATTCATCAGGTAAACGTCTGGGCTTAAGTGATCAATTTATGTTTAGGGAGTTATTGCAAAAAAACAAATGTAATAAGTTTTAAAGTGCCTTTGCGACATAACATAAATGTCTTAATTTGCTTTGTTGTTATTTTTTCTTTATACAGTTTTTGATTAATTTATTTAGTAATTAAATTTTAAACAGCCAAGTTTTTGAGACTTTATTCCATTTAATAAGTTGTGTTAACACTTTAATCACTTCAGAGTGTAATGTGTGCTTTTCTTAGTTTTTGCTCTTTTCTGCTTGTTTTTTTTTTTTTTTGATTCTACTGTCACGAAGATTCCAGACTGATTACGGTGAGTATGCTTACTCTGCAAACTTACACTTAACAGTTCACTGTTACTCGGTTCGAATCGAACCAATCAGCTGTTTAATTAAATCTATGTGCAAGCTTCTTTGAATGTGTGTGCACGTAAAGTGTGTAGAATCAATGTGTTTTCATTGGTTTTGTTGTTGTTCGCACAATTAAGCGAAAATAATATTTTCAACAACAAACGTTTAGTATGCTTAGTCTGCAAATGAAACTTTAGCTCGACGGTTTGTTAGTGCTGTTGTAGGTAACGTTAAATATTACGATAAATGCAAATTTGTTCTTGTTTTTTCTTTTTGCATATGAAAGAATTTAATAATTTTGTTCGAAAATAAATTAATATTTGACACATTAAGAAGAAAAAAAGAACAGAGATTTATATAATATTTTTAAACTCTATATGAAACATAATATCCAAAGAATTTGTTTTACGTGTAGCTTAGGTGAAGGTGAACAGAAAAAAGAAAAAACAAAAATAAAAAAATTAAATAACAAGTTTTTTTTTACACCTTCATAAATTAAAAAGGAAAAAAATATTTAAATTTTCCCGTGCAATAAATAAAAACAAGTTCTTTCGCCTGCCATGCGTACGGTTTGGTTTAGTGTTTCATTCAATTTTTTTTCAAATTACTAAAAATAATTCATAAATAATAAAATAGTGTTCAAAAAATAAAATCTACATAATATATTCGATCAATAAAAACAGTTGCACAAATAGGAAATAAATCGATATGAAATCAACGTTTATTAATATATGTTTCATTATAAAGTGTTTATAAACTATAATTAAATTTATTGCATTCATATTTATACGAGTACTTATTATAAACAATACTACTTGCTGTGAGTTATCATCTGCTTTAATGAACCTAACTTCTGCATCGATTTTTAATGCTCGTCCTTGCCTTACTTGCCTTTTTGAAAAAAAACTTTTAACTTGGTAAAGATTTAAAAGTGAGTATAATTTTGTTAATAGAATTGTTTTGTTATTATCATTATTTCTCAAATTAAAAAAAAAAAAAAAAAAAAAAAAAAAAAAAAAAAAAAAAAAAAAAAACATAATCGTAGGCACAAGGTAAATATCTATGAATATTGTTAAATTTTTACGTGCTTACTGCACAAGCAAAAGGAGAAATTGCTATCTACGAAGGTCGGGAATGCGTATCAGCGAGCCCTTACAGTATACACATTCTCGGTATTCTAAAGTCCGTCCGTCCGTCCATTTATGAATTTGCTGTTTGTTGGGAGTTTCTACGTAAAGAAGTGAAGGTCTAGAAGGATAACTGAATCTTCCTCTGGCTGCTCTCGGTCAATGCCAGCAGATCAATTATGCTATTGACTCTCATGTGACAGTAAGCACGCCTATAATTGCAAAAAAAAAGAAAAACTTGGCAGCAATCAAATGCTCAAAAAACTAAGCTTTATAGTAAATGTGAATTTATAATTCGATATTATTAGGTACAATTTGTGGATGCTGCGTTGCTTAACCCCCGATTTGTTAATTATTTAAGATTTAATAGAAATATTGAATAGAGCTTTGTAATGGTTTGATGGAAATTGTCTCCAGATCGACACGTTATTCGTTATTAATAAAAAAGAGGACATTAGGGTTATTGAGGCGATTGACATTTAGGCATAATTATTAAAGTCACCCAAAAAGCATTATTATTGCGCCGGGTCAAGCTGTTCACATGGAATATTAATTGAGTTTGAGGATTGCAAGCATATTTTTGATAAGCATCCTTTATATATGTGAAAATTATTGTAGGTACTATTAAAAACATTTTCAATTCAAAAAATAGTTTATCGTCATTATGTATCAGGTCAAGTTGATATTCAAAGTATATTTACTTTTACTGTTTACTTGCTACATCGTACATCAAGAGCGGTGGAGGGTATATAAGATTCATGCACGATAAGAGAGAGTTGAGCATGAAACTGAGATTCGAAAGCATTTTCTGAATTGTAGAATTTGAGAGCGTCTGTCCAGTTTTTTGGTCGATGGCCTTCGATGCAATATATACGAGAGATATATTCATGACAATTTTTCGACAACCATTTGGCCCTAAGAGCACTAGTTTCTAAGTAAGTTAGCAACAATTTTTTCGTTCAACAAGTTCAGTTACTTTTTACACTGAACACAATAGTTAAAAATAATTCAAAATTTTATATCAGATTTAGTTTGGAATGCGGTGCTTCGGTGAATTCTTGTTACATAATAAACATATTGTTTCATAAAATATTTAAAATTATTCTTGTGGTGACCTGAGATTGATTTTGAATTTTTCAAAACAACTCTAATGCCATGTTTTGAGAAAAAATAATTATCTGTAATTAATTATAGGTTTTGTGTAAATGTGTGTTTGCGGATGCAAGTAATGGTTAATTGAAATTAATAAATTTTAAATTATTTAAATAATCATACGCAGAATTCATGCATAAATCTAGTTCTAAGCTATTGATTTTCATACACGCATTTACAATATATATAAACGGCCTTCGATATTAACACATTCACACGTGCATGTAGACATGAAAAAAAGCCCTAAAGTGAGTAGAATGACTTGCGACGATATATAGCTAACTTTCATTTCACGAAAAATATAGAAAAAAAAAAAACATTACAATAACAACGCGTAAAATCGCTTTTAAACCGTCCAAGGACAAAATACAGAGATGACTGCACCATTACCAAGAAGTTGGAGCGATATGACGACATTAGGTATATGTACATATATAAACGTTAAGAAAATGTGCCCATGAGGGAGGTATGAAAGCAGAATAATTTACGTATCAAAAATGCCGGTAAACGACAAGTCGAACAAACAAAGTGTCATGCAACTCATACCAATGACACAGAGCTCAAAGCCATTTTCGTATGCTTCTGAAGAGCTGCAAATCGGTTGCATTGTTAACCTCAACACTGCAATGCGTAACTTTGATATCTCCAAGCAAGAATTTCAGCTCAGTTTGCAGCTGGGAATTGCAAACTAAAAGTTGATTATTTCCTTGTGTGAGTTAAGTACAAGGGGGTGGTGGACCGATATATTAACGATATGCTAGAAGGAGGAGGAGGAGGCTTCAATTTTAACGGCGATTTTCTTGCACCGCTTTTGTTGTGTGTGTATTTGTATTTGTGTATGTATGAATGTTTTCATTTCATGTTCAAATGAAGTACTTGGCTAAGTGTTATGCTGTCTGTGTCGTGTGTTCCAATTAAACACTCCCTGACCACTTGTGTTTACATCGCTAATGTTTTCATTTTCAATATCTTTGAATCTATCTGCTATATACATATATATATATATATATGCATCTGCCTTTAAAATATGCGATTAAATTAACTGTTAACTTCTTCATTTATAGAGTGTGCCTAGATGTGCGCGTGTGTGTGTGTGTGTGTGTAAATTTGCGTGACCTACATTTATAACAACAGTCTTGAATTAATTTGCTTTTCTTCTCTGTGCTTAGTATCTGTTTATTGCAGCATGATAGGTGAACTAAATTTGAGAGAAAACAAATATTTGCAAAACATTTTAATTGAGCAACAAATGCACTTTTATGCAAATACTTATATAACAAATATTTACATATATTTAATAATTCGAGTGGAGGTTAAACTGCAAAATAAATAGAATTAAAGAAACATTAAGTTATTTTTTTTTTTTTGGAATTGATTGTTTTTGTCCCTTAATTAAATATTTCATTACAATATTTATAATATGCGTTGACTATATGTATTTGATATTTAACACGAGTACGACTTACTTAACTCTTACAGTAAATGTCTATTAATTCCTTATCTCTTGCTGTTCAATAACCTCTTAACTTTTATGAAATTGTCCATAGCAAATATTTTGTATTTACATGTTTGTAACTGCGTAAGAATGCAATAATTATTATTTTATTTGCTTTGTAAATTTATCAACGAAGGACATCGAAGCAATATAGTGCTGCTTTCATAGCGTTTGTAACAACAAAATATGCGCATTAAAGTTATTAATTATTCGATATCGATCGTCACTGCACTGCAGTAATCGGCATATATTCGTTCAGATTCAGACAATTTTTTTAAATTTTTCCGATAGTTTCTCTGGTATTTGCCACTCTTGTGCTATTTAACGTCTGTCTATCGATCCCAATATTTCCTACTCCGTTTTTGGGCTCAATTGCCCCGCGGGTCACTGGAATGTTTCTCTCAATCTCAAAAAACACTTTTGAGTTAAGCTCTTTTGTTTGACTGTTTATGGTGAAGATGCTTTATCAAAGTTATAGCTCTCAATAAGTTTGCTCGTTTCTTCTCTTGAATATTCGATTTTAGGGAGGTGCTGCGATCTGGTAGAAAAAATTCGTTACATTTTGTGATCATTTTAACAACCAAAAAGTTGACCTGAAAACCAATTTTTGCACCATTTTCGTAAGGTTGGATACAAAAATAAACCTGATCACGAAGTAACAGTAGAAAATTTAGCCGACCGAATATCTGTCTGCGAAACGTTGCTGAACAGAAGTAAATGGGCGATGAAGAGCGACTCATACGCGGTACTTATGTGCTCGTTGAAAAAATGCATTCATTATCGTTATCGAAATTAAAAAATAAAGAGAAGCAGTAGCACAACTGGTAGCAGCTGCTGCCAAACTGTCAAAGCCCCGGGAAACTTTTATAAACTTAAAGCAGAAAAAGGCAAAAAAAGGAAATAACAAAATTGTATTCGGCTGCGACCGAACTCTTTATTTAGTTACAGAAATCAATTCTAAGACTAAACCTTAAACCATTAGCATCTAAAACTATCGGCTCTATTGAAAACTGTAACGCTCTTGAGATTTGAACTCACGACCATTGGAGTTGTTAGTTGAGATCCTTTGCTTACTCCGCCACTCGGACGGATATAAAAACGTTAAAAAGTTAAAATTAATGCAATTATTGATGTATATATTAAGTATCGACCTTATTTTGGATAATAGTTTACTTATTTATTGCATTCATAGTTACATAAGCTCGACGTTAAGAATTGAATGATGCTCAACGCTTTTTACACTGGCTAAAATATAAGTTAAGACTCTTTGATGGGTATTCAAGATTCGTTCCAAAATAGATATAAAACTCTTATTTATTTATTTATTAGGAAAACAGAAAATGAACAGAGTGCAAACAAGCAAGCAAACAAGCATCAGTGAATTGTTGAAAGATTGGTTATAGTTTGCTGCACTGAGCCAGTTAAAAGAAGGAGCCTTAACGACAAGGAGTGAAACAACAACTTTGTCTGCTTGAAATAAAAAATGAACTAAAAAGGCAATGAACTACTATTCCATTCGCATATATATATATATGTGGGAAAAGGGTTTCAATTTTACAAAAAAAGAAGAAAACAACAATTGAAATGAAAATACTGGCACGCTTCAGTGCCTAAAAGTCTGCCATGCATTGATAACAACATTATGCATAAGGCAACTCAAACATTATTTGTCCAACCAAAGCATATTAAAGTGAAAGAAAGAGAGAAAATGAAAAACAAAACAAAAAACTACGACTCCTGTACGGCGCCCTAATTGCTTTCAAACGTAACGCTTTGATTTTTTACTTTTCCTCTTATCGTTGTGAGCTTAAATTTGATTTTTCAAAAGTGCAAAAAATAAAAGCACAATTTCAGTCCTTTAAAACGGATATAGCTAAACTTCTAAATGATGCTGTGATGATGAAAAAAAATAAAAATTTTTCAATTTCCGTATATAAGTTTACTGGGTCTGTAGAATAATAATAGGGATTTTTTTAAATGTTTATGTTTCATTGCTTTCAAGCTTGGATACTTTTCACATCAAATATTTTGGAGATGTTTACGCAAGAGTTATTTGCAGACTAAATAAGAACGTTCTCAAGCTGGTTTTCCATTGTTTAATTTTGAAATGAAGTTTTTGCTGAAGTTGGTCGTTTCTGACTGACGCATGAATCTGCT